GTTCAAGTGGAAGATATTCAAATTTGTAATGATGGAGTGGAAGATATTCAAATGAATACAACGGCTCTAAACGGCTATAAATTCAAATGATATAAACGACTATAAGTTTCATTATATATACCAAAGTCTCTAATGTAAACAAGTTACAAAAAAAATCAAAAAATATTATTTGATCTATAATCACTCACATCTATTCTCTGAAAAAATTCTCTGAGAAGTGTTCTTCAATTTTTGTTTACATCCTATTTCAGAAATTATACACTGAGACATATAGCTTTAAGCCCATCTTTCTTGTGTGAGGTTTACAGAAAAACCAGAGCTTCATTTTTATATCTATTTTTAAGAGATAATTCTTGTAACTTTCTGTGAAAGCAAAAGCACATTCTTTTCAACCTTGTTAGAGTGTAGTACACTTAGTGTTCTTGACTTAGAAAGTCTGTGCAAAATCTGTGGAGGATTAAAAGGTTGCTAGCACCCTGTGAAGGTAGAGTATAGTGGAAAATCTCAAGTGAAGCTTGAGGAGTGAACGTAGGCCGAGTTGAAGTCGAACCACTATAAATTTGTTTGCCTCTCTCTCCCTTATCTCTTTATTTTATTTAAATTGCCATAACTATATTTCACATTTTCACTGTGCTAAAATCATTAGCTGGCGTAGTTGTTAGAACACTTGTTTTAATTATTTTTATTTCATTAACTATATTTATCTATTGTGCTAGTCATAATTTTTATTAGGGTATTATTATTTTTATTTGTAAAAACTTAATTCACCTCCTTCTTAGGTTATCTTTTGGGTAACAATTGGTATCAGAGCCTATACTCTTGTTTTAAATTTAACCATCTGGGAGTTTTGATCCATGGCAACCGTAGCTGAAGCACAAGCCACAAATAGGCCACCATTGTTTGATGGAAACAACTATAGTCATTGGAAGAATAAAATGGCCCTATACTTACAAGCCACTGATTATGCCATGTGAATTATTGTCACTAAAGGTCCAAAAATTCCTACCAAATTAGTAGACAATATTAGTGTATCTAAAACTGAAGATGAATGTGATAAAAGGGATCATAAATTATTGCAAGCCAATGCTAAAGCCAAACTTCCCCTTGTTTGTGGATTAGACTCTAAGGAGTATAATAGAATTTCAAGTTGTGATTCGACAAAAGAAATTTGGGACAAACTTGAGGTAACGTATGAAGGTACAAACCAAGTGAAAGAATCTCGTATTGACATGCTTGTTCATAGTTATGAATTGTTTAAAATGAACTCTGATGAATCTATTTCAAGTATGTTTACTAGATTTATTGAAATTGTAAACTTTTTGAAATCTCTTGGCAAAACTTATACTAACAGTGAGTTGGTGAGAAAAATTCTTAGGTGTTTACCAAAGAATTGGGAAGCAAAGGTCACGGCCATTATAGAAGCTCAAAATCTCTCCACACTTGGATTGAATGAGCTTATGGGTTCCCTTATGACTCATGAGATTACCATGAAAGGACATGAGGATATTGAAAATAAAAAGAAAAGTGGAATTGCATTCAAAGCCTCATCAAATGAAGAAGAACATGAAAACTCCAGTGATGATGAAAGCTATGCCATGTTTAGTAGAAATCTCAAAAAGCACTTCAAGAAAAACAATTATGGACAAAGAAGACCTTTCAAGAAAGAGTACAACAAAGATAACAAGAAAGAGCCTATTATTTGCTATAAGTGCAAAAATCCTGGACATATAAAGATGGATTGTCCAAAATTAAAGAATCATGGAAAAGATTACAAAAGAAACAAAAAGGCCATGGTTGCAGCTTGGGGAGAAAGTGAATATGAAAGCTCAAGTGATGAAATTGAAAATGAAGTAGCCAACTTAAGTCTCATGACTCTTGAAAATGAAGACTCTACTCAAGATGAGGTAACTACTGTTTATGAAGAACTTGAAAGTGCATTTCATGAACTACAAGATGAACTTAGAAAAGTTTGTGTCAAAAATAATGTGTTGAAGAAATCTGTTGCATCTTTATCTATTAATGTAGAAGTATTAAAGAAAGAAAAAAATTGTTTTGAAAAATGATTTTGATACTATCTCTAATGATAAAGCTATTTTAAAAAACAATGATGATGATTTAACAAAAACACTTGAAAATTTTGTAAAAGGTAGAGATAATCTCAACATGCTTCTTGGAAATCAAAGATGTGTTTTTGATAAAGCGGGTATTGGATATGACCCTATTAAGGAACAAAAGAATCTCAATACAATTTTTGAAAAGACACCTCTCATGACACACCCTCATATTACTTGTCATTATTGTAGAAAGAAAGGCCATTATATATCTTATTGTCCATTCAAAAAGAATATGAACATGGGAATTAAAAAGATTTGGATTATTAAGGGACCTAACAAAACTAACCAAGAAGGACCCAAGAAACTATCGGTACCAAAAATCAGCACTTGATTGTCATCTTGTAGGTTTGCTTTAAGTCTAAAGCTAAACAAGGGAAGTGGTACCTTGATAGTGGATGTTCCAGACACATAACCGGAGATAAATCATTCTTTACTAAACTATCATCGAAAGATGGAGGATTTGTTATTTTTGGAGACAACACTACTACAAAAATAGTTAAAGATCACACTTTGACAATATATATATATCACTTATATTGGAAGTGTGATAAAAAAAATTAAATTGATATTTTAATCACACTTAATTTGATTGAGTGTGATAATATTTATTTTTTATGTCACTTTTCAATTAAGTGTGATTATATATATATATATATTTTTAATCACACATTCTAATTAAAGTGTGATTATATATACACTACTACTTTTTAATCACATCTTTTAAATAAATGTTATTATATATATATATATTTTTAATCACACATTCTAATTAAAGTGTGATTATTTATATATATTTTTAATCACACCTTCTAATTAAAGTGTGATTATATATACATTACAACTTTTTAATCACACTCCCAAATAAGTGTGATTGTATAAAATATTCCAATTTGATTTTTATATAAAATATACAATTCCCAAATTCGCGCGTCTGTTCTACCCATGAATGATAGAGGACGACTCTTTCCATTCCCAACAAGATTGAATTTCACAAGCATACAGGTCTCTTCTCCTTGCCTTCTATTCCCGGTCGAGAGGATTGGCTGGTACTTGAAGAAGGGTCGGTATGCTCAGTGGGTCGGAACTAGAGGTCTGGTTTTCATAGCCGTTGTACTTGAATACCTAGCTACTGAAGTAACTCTCTCTCTCTCTCTTCTCCTTGCCTTCTATTCCCGGTCGGGAGGATTGGCTGGTACTTGAAGAAGGGTCGCTATGCTCAGTGGGTCGGAACTAGAGGTCTGGTTTTCATAGCCGTTGTACTTGAATACCTAGCTACTGAAGTAACTCTCTCTCTCTCTCTTCTCCTTGCCTTCTATTCCTGGTCGGGAGGATTGGCTGGTACTTGAAGAAGGGTCGCTATGCTCAGTGGGTCGGAACTAGAGGTCTGGTTTTCATAGCCGTTGTACTTGAATACCTAGCTACTGAAGTAACTCTCTCTCTCTCTCTCTTCATTCCTATACGCTTAAATTTCTATAAGTTCTTACCTTCACCATCTTCTTCATCTAATTTGATCATTGGAGGGTCCGTAGGAAGGAACCATCTCCATTTCTGAACCAGCCGTAAATAATAAAACTTTCTATGACGTACATATGGTATGCCGTTAATACATCAACTATACACGACACGCGTACACCAACTGTTAAAAATATTGAACATTTCACGACGCATAAAAAGCCAGCCGTTAAAAATTTCACTTTCCACGACATACAAAAAAACTAGCCGTTTAAAATATTATATTTTTCATGACACGCAAATACTGTTGTGAAAGGTATGATCGAAAAAAAAAATAACGCCAAAATAAAAATTTCGAAGCGCCAAACAGCCGAAAACAAAATATTTAAAAATAAAAAATCAAAATCAAAAGCCCCAGCTCCCAACATCTATCTATACCTAATGGTTCTAATCATAAAGAAAGAACAAAGAACACGATTCAAAGAGGGAAAAGGAGAAGAGAGGGAGAAGATAGAAGGGTTCAAAAGGGAAGGGAAGGGTTTCAATCTCTCTTTCTGGACACTTTGACGGTACGGAAAGACTGGTTTGGCGGCGGTAACGATTGACGGTACGCACTCATTTCATCTCTTTTCTTCTCCGTCAAACATCTGCATGCCTAAACGATTATCAAGCATAAGCTTATAATCACTCCTTTTGATGAGGCTAAGGCTGTGAATGGCAAGAACGATCTCGCGGTGGAGGTGGTCGGCGTAGATGAGGTAGGTAGGGGCGTGGTTGTGGGTTTGTCGGGGTTGAGGCAGTTAAGGGGAACTAGGGGTGCCTCTCTGTCTCTCTCTCTCTCTCTCTCTATATATATATATATATATATGTATGTATATGATTGTTTTCAGATTTTGATGATTCTGATCTTTTCTACTAAAGGGGTTTCGTCTAGGGCTAAGGATGTAGTTAGGGATTCGAAATCACCAGCGTTATTGGTTTTAGGGCAAACGGAATCGGGTTTGAGCTTAGATCAAGGGGAATCGGTAATTTCCTCTGAGGAGGTTCATTCGATTAGTGTTAACAGATTGACGATGGGGCGTGAAGGGAGTCTTAGCCCTAGTTCAGGGTCGTTCGCTGCTTTGGTGGTGTGTTGGCCATTTGTATAAGTGAAGGAGTCCACCTTATTATAAGGAAAATAGATTATTCTTCCCATGACTTTTTGTTGATGCATATTTACTCAGAAGTCTCTTGAAATTAGATGAAATTGTCCTAACTGATGGTTTCTCCTTTGCAACTAATATTCCTCTTTAACTGTACCCTTTTCTTAATACGACAAGCAAATCAAGGCCATTTGAGTACTTGAGGCTGACTAGCTTAGGCGTCATTGGTGCTTTGGTGAAGGTGCTTCATTATGCTGATATTAATTTTTACATCTTATGAATAATCTTGCTTTTTTTTTTCATATACTTCTATTTGTGGAGGTAATACATTCCTTGAAATAGAGTGGCAACTATATATGTTAGTAAGGAGTCCCTCTGCAGATAGCAACTTGTTTTCAAATTATAAAATTGAAAAACAAAATAATATACATAAAGAATTAAAATCTAATTCATGTCTATAAAAACAAATAATAAAACAAATCCATAGCTAGCATGAGTTTTATGGGCATGATCTTATCTCTTGAATGTTCCCTAAAGACAGAAATATTTTTGAAGAAGTTAATAAGCTGTTTAAAATGAATTTGCATATTCTCTCAATTCCAACCAATGGTAATTATTATTCTAACAATTTTAATTAATATACATTTCCTTAGAAATTCAAACTGGTTCATAATTTCAAGGAATGCATTATGTTATCTAGATGTTGGTTTTAGTTTTTATTCTCTTCCTTTTATTTATATATTTATTTTTGATCAGCAACAAAATGGAACTTTTATTAAAAAGAAGAATAAGAAAGAGATGCAAACAAAGGTGGACAAGGAGTCCTCAAAACAGAAAATAATAGAAGGAAAATCCCAGAAAAAAACAAATAAATAAGAGTCTGAGTCGCACACTGTATTCTCTTCCTTTTATGCGGGCACATATTAATTTAAATATACCTATGTAAAAAGTTTGGAAAAGAAATACTGCAGACTCTGTTTTTGATGGGCATCTGCATATATTGGAAGCCATTTGCAGCCAACATTATAGATTGCTTCTATGACCTTGAGGAGACCTATGATGAATTTTTTACCAAAACAGAGGTGTTGAATTTCTCTTTGATATTTGTTTCAACTGCTTTCTTTTTCTTCTCCCTTTTTCCCAAATTTTGAACCCATAAATTGTGACAATTTAAAGCAGCAAACAGCTGCCTAATCACACACAATATGTAATGGAGAAATTTTTATGTGTAGTATGCCTCTTTCACTTTGCTCGCAATAATCTCCTCCCTCTCTCATTGAAAAGGGAAGTTACATTCTTCGGAAGCTCGTGGTGTCCCTAATAACTAAGCTCTTGTTCATGAATCATTAAGTTTTATTTATTTATTTATTTATTTATTTGGGTGATTTGAATATCATGAAAATCAGAACTTGTGTTTTTTTTCTTTTTTCTATTAGGTTGATGATACAGAAGTTATTAGCTTCCTTCTCTCAACAGAAATAATTCCACTATGCCTGCGGACGATGGAGATGGGCAGTGAACTATCAAAAACAGTTAAGCGCACCTGAATCCATTGTATTAATTTTTTTTTCCCCAATGAATACCACCAATAATTTCACTGTTTCTTTTCTCACTATCTATTGCAGATTCATGTCTATTTTCTATCTGAATGTATTGCTAGCTATAGCCTAGGTATGCCTAAAGCTGATATGAGGCTAATGATTGAAAATTCCTCTTTCTTTTCGTAAAGTACTTTTTCAGATAACAAAAAACAACTTAATTTTTTATAGTTAGCATTTTTTATGGCTAAAAATTAACTTAATTTTTCGTAAAGTATCTTTTGCATTTTCTTTTCCGAAGAAGTTCAATATGTTTTCTAACTCTAAGAATGTTTGATTTGTTTCATTTTGGTGGCACATCCTACATAGAAAAATAGTGGCGCAGGTTCCCTGAATGTTTTTTAGTTTCATTGCAAATGCAACTGGTCATAGGATGTGGTTTGTTTCTAAGAAAATGGTGAGCTCTACGAATTATGTTGGGTTTTAGGATTATATACTATTGCTACCGTTGGTGATACCTTACAAAATGAATTGTAATTGTAGATATTGATGACTCTAGGCCTGGTAGAGGCTGCCTTATAGTTCCATGGTACCTTGTTATTGTAACATCAATACTCCCAGTTTATATCCTCTGTAGTTTGATAAAACACATTAATTTTTCCTAGCAGGTTGCAACATTCATTATTCAAAAAATTCTATTGGATGATGTGGACTTGTAATTAATGATAAGAGATTACGGATATTTTTGAATGGATATAAATTTCAAATCAAGCAATTTGAGATTACTTGAACCATGGGCATAGGCTATCGTGCAAAGCACGGTGCCTCGCAACTAGTACATATATTAAACTATATAGTAGTATTTCAGACTTTTGTAATATGTTGTTTTGTCTTCATATATAGCAAGATTTTGGATAGAAAGATATTTCACAAAAGTTTTAAAACAAATTAATTACAACTTGTAAAAGCCAAGCAAAGGGACAAATGGCAAGAAACATTCTCATAGAGAAATGCAGGTAACCTTGCACATTTCTCATGCTTGTACTTTTGGTTGCTTGCTTTTCTACTCAAGCTTTTGTCATTATTGCATATGGATCCCATCATCTATTAAATTTGAGTAAACAAACACTTCATAGGGTAAGCAAAACAGTGCAAGTGGTGAACATAGGGTGCACAGAGGTGGTGCTTGGAAGAATTCCCTTCACCAGAAGCCTTAAAGCATTGAATTATTGTTTCAACCAAACCACCAATAGAATATCAGGAAAGGAGTCACCAGACCTTGCAGCTTAGCTGGATCCTGATGACAAGATGAGCTTAGAAATAAATTTATTTCATCAGCTTATAATCTACAAATGAAATTTACTTCATTCTGTTATAATTTCTAAGGTTCTCAATTACTTTAACATGTTAAAATTTTGTTATGGTTAATAGGACGACATCGATCAGGATGATGAAGGCAATGATGACTGTGAGCAGAAATCATGCCAGCTAGGAGCACGTCAATACAAGCATCCGATTGCAATTCATGCTGGGAAACCAAAGAATGGATTGAAAGAGGCTTTGAGGGCTGGAATTGGAAAAATTAAACGTCTTAGTTTGTGTGAAACAACACTTGAAAAGGCAACAAAATCTTATGGAATTGACCTTGTGAGGTAGTCACTGAAGTTCTATGTGCTTAATACCTCTAAGAATTATCTTAAAACATTTATATTTTTACTCCAGTGAGTGATTAGATCTCTACTGTTTTTTATTAATCTTTTCTTTCTTGTCTCCCTTAGGTTCACACAGAAGAATATTCTGAGGGTATACCCAAAGTGGACCCGAGTCACCTCCTCAAATTTCAATCCACTTACTGGATGGATGCATGAAGCTCAGATGGTTGCATTTAATCTGCAGGTTAGTTTTGAAGTCTTATGTCTTCATAAAATCATGTTATTCATGTTTTTTTGGTGAGCTTTGGTAATATTTTCTCTATTTCTTAATCTTGTGTGGTTTGATTAGTTAATGATGTAGAATGCAAGTTCAGTTAAAAAAATGGCTTAAATATATGGAGTGGGAAAATATTACTTTTTAGGATTGATTTCTAGTTTTTTATTCTATTTTTGCTATTGACATCTATGTAAAGCTTATATTACACACTATAGTCTCTGGATAGCTTGGAATTTTTCTAATTCTATCTTTTTCATTTTGTTAGTTCAATTTCATCCTATTACAATGTAATGTAACAGCATTGAAAATAAAAAATAAAAAATGACTACATTGCAGCTTCTAGTAGTAGCATAATATTACATAGAATGTCAAATTTGAGTCACATGACGTGATTTGTTTAATGTTAATATTCTTATAGAGGTTAATATTCAACCAATATCTTGGGAATCTGGGAAATTCGTTTGTTTGTTTCCTTTCTCTTTATTTTTTGCTTTCCTTATATATAGATTTGACAGCAAGTCAAATGCAGGGTTCAAATTTGATGCCAGAGAATAGATACATATCCTTATAAATAGATAGATCCAACTAATTCTCTTTATTTACTGTTTCAATAGTTAGCATGTCGCAAAGATAGCTTATGAGAATCAATTTGTGATGAGTACTCAAGAAATTATGAAATTTCTTGAAAATCAGTTAAAAGCTGCACAGAGTCCTGTTGAACTCATGTTAAAATTGTGAATTTAATAAACGCCATTTTTAGACACTAAAAACAAATAAACATAATACAATGAACTAATCAAATATACGTCTTTAATTTTACACAGTGTATATAGCGATCCCGGTTTTACCCCGACCTTTATTGTGTTCCGAACTCGGGTTCCGTGATTGTATATTGTTGTCTATGTCTTGTTTCTTCCCTTTAATTCTTTGAATTTGAGTTTTGGGACTTGTTGGGCGAGTTTGGAACAGGTTGGTTGCTTTTTGATACAAATGGTTGTAGCCCAGAACTTGGTCCTTCCGCTCGAGTAGGGACTGTGTCTGCAGAAAATACTGGGAGAGCGTATTTCACGCTCGAGCGCAGGGTTTCACACTCGAGAGGGAGTCTGTGTCTTACGTTCGAGCGGGACTTTCCACGCTCGAACGGACCATGTTATAACAGATCGTGAAACTGACATTTCAGGTCATTTTTCTGCTTCCTCTCTCTCTCTCTAAAAGTCTCCAAAATACAAATCTAGAGCCTTTGTCTCTAGAAAACCATCTTCTTTCTTTGATTTCTCCAAATCCATAGGGATTTTGGCCATAGTTCCTTCATCAAAATTATGTAACTTCTGGAAGGTTTCGTTGTGTGCGGTGGAGATAGAGTTTCATCGTCATTGATTTTGGGGGTTTCAACTCTTTTCTTCTTCTACACTTGATGTAGGGATTTTCTACACTCTAATATGGTTTTTAGCTTAGTTATTTGCTATTGTGTATAGATGATGAGATATTTGGTTGTTGTTTGGACAAATCTAGGATTTGGATGAGAAATGAAAAGAGGGGTTTTTGATGAATATGAGGCAAATGAATATGAGGCTTGAATATATGATTATGCTATGCCAAAATAGTTGATTTTGGTGTTTGGGTTGATGTAGACCGCCTGAAATTCGCTCCGCGCGCGAGGGCGCGAATTGTGGTTCTAGCTACTACAGTTCGGACTCCTGTCATGATTCTGAATCTAATCTCACAAAGTGCAATGCAAGACTGATAAATCACCAAAGAGTCCAAATCCGGAAAATCATTTTGGAAAATTGATTTTAATCAAAAAGCACCAAACATGGACTGTTTTGCCAAATTTCAGAGTCGCCACCTAAATATTTTGTTTTTGAGAAATTTAGGAAACCCTGACTCGTGCCAAAGGCCACGTGTCCGTCATCACCAAAGTTGCCTCGGCTCGGGAACTTGGGTACGAGGGGGGAAGGTCATGAAATGAGCACCCCCGCTCGCCCGATTAAAGGATCGGCCTCTACTAAGCATGATATAATGTTTTTAAAAACACATGCGTTCTTATTTTGATTATTTAGCTAACTTACTATGTGATGTGCACAGCATACAAGTATAGACTTAATCACACGGATTGAAACAAAAAAACTCATGCTTGTTTTTTTTTGAAAATGGTTTGAAAATGCTACTCGTAAGTAGGCTAAAACGCGGATTTGCCACCCTCAAGTTGGCTTAGAAAAACATGATTTTGCCACTTCAAGTGGGCCTAAAACTCACAATCATCGAGTTGTTCCAATTCAGGCAATCAAGCCTCCACCCACAGGCATTCAAGCAGTTATAGCAATTAAGCACATAGCCTCATGGAAAGCATGCTAAATATGGCAACACTTACACGCATGCAAGGATGCTAAAGCATAAACACTTACCTAGTACTCCAAGCTAAAACAAAAGCTAGTTAGTAATCAATGCATGATCCTAGCTATGTCAACAATGCCTAATGCAACACATGCAAAAATGCAACTAGATAGGCTCGGCTATTCTAAGATGTCATGTGAATGCAACTAGATAACATATATTCAACTTGGCATTGAAATACGATGCAGTTTGTGTGATGCGCCAAGCCCGGTGCATATAAGATAGATGAATGGTTACACGTATGCAAGCATAAGGTATGCTAATTGAAATGTGCCCTAAATTAACCATCGAAAGCTGATAAGTTAAAGGGAGAAAGAAATGGGGTTGGAAGACATGCATCACACACACACACTTATTACAACATTTGCCATCTCGACGGAGGGTCCGAAAGAATAAGCTAAGCTAGCTACATTAAGCTAAGCTACTTAACTAATCTAATAATCTAATTAGACTAATTATTACACAACACAAATTGAATAACTAGTTACAACTAATTATTACAATGCTCTAATTAATTAACAAATTAATTAAGTTACAAAACCAACTAAGTGAGAAAAAGAAGCTAAATTAGGCTGCCACAGCTCTGCCTCGGAATAATGAATGATGCATGCTCGGTTGGCTTCACTCGGAAATTCATTACCATGCCCCCAATTGCCTCTGTTTGCATTTGGTTTGATTTCAGAACACTACACAAACTCCAGAATGCTTTTTCTCTAACGCAGGGATCTCCTGGTGGGCTGCCGACTAAAAAAGGGTGGTGTAGACCACCTGTAGACCAGAAAAACTAGCTATAGATCAGAAAAAGTGGTCGGCCAGCTACGTTTACTGGTTTGTCAACCAGAAATTTTGCCAAACTCCAGTTTTGCTGCAGCAGAGAATAAGACGGGGCATGGCAGTGTATTTGCAAGATATGTGTGCACAACCACCCTCCCTATCATTTCTCAAGCTCAAGGAAGTGCGATACTCGACTCTCGGGCCATCAACCGAGCATCGCAATGCACGATGGCCGAGAAGCCAAGTTTGCACAATTCAATGTCAATGAATGCACAAATAACACATAAGGGCCTCCATCTCTATTATGCTTGATCAAGAGGGTCGGCGACTGAGAAATGAGCCGCGTTTCATCACTTCAAGTATGAAACACCCTCGTTTCTCGTGTTTGGATTAACAACCGATCAAAACACAATCCAATGCAATAACACTCCAAACATAATGCAATGCAACAACATGCAAACAGGATGCGATTTAACAACATGCAAACAACATGCGATTCAACAATGTTAATGTGGCATGCATAAGGTTCTATCACATAAACAATGCATGCAAGACATGTTCGGAGGCTAAAGCATCAAAGCAAATAAAGAGCATCATACAAGAGGCATGCTATACAATGCTCAATGGACTTAAACCAACCCCACATAAACCTCATGCATGCCCAAACAATGGCCAAAATGTGTTGAAACTTAAACACAAGAAGCAAGAAAAGCATGCTCAACTCATGGCTCGCAAGCGAGGTACAAAACTCAATCCTCAAACGCATTGAAAGAGTGATAAACATGAGAGTATAACAAGTCCATATGCTCTGAAATTATGTTCCAAATGATGCCAAATCATGCACATATCACAAATGAAGCATGCTAGGGGGCTCAAAGCTTAAGGCTAGCAAAGGCACTTGCACCATAGCCATATCAAGCAAGCCCCAAAGGGCCAAGGTGACTCAAAACAGTCTCAAGGCAGGTCAAAACAATGCCAAAACATGCATGGAATAGGGCTAACACGTGCTAGAATGTGAGGCATAAAGCATGATGCATGTAAGGCCAAAGAGGGGGATTACACTACACCTACCAAAACCAGGCATGAGATGACTTCATCAACAAAAATTAGAGTTGTAACATGGTAAAATAAGACCAAAAACACACTGAGATGGTAACCCAAAAAGCTTAGGCAAGCATGCATGCCAATTGGCTCATGATTGAGGCATAAAGCATAACCCTCCAAAAACATTGAAAGAGTGAAGCATGGGAGAGTATGACCACATTACACACACTGAAATCATGTTAGACATGAGGCCAAAGCATGCAAATAACTCAAGCAAGCCATGCTAGAGACTATGAAACTCAAAGCTAGTGAGCAAGATTGCACTATGGCTATACAAAGCAAGGCATGCATGACCAAAAACACTTAAAACAGAGCTTAAGCATGGCAAAACATGAGTAAAAGTTTGCTAGAGTGGAGCCAAAAACATGCTAAAATTGTGGTCCAAAGCATGATGTATGTTAAGGCAATAGGGAGGATTGCACTACAAGGTTATGAAGCATGCAAGAGTCAATCAAACCGACCCAAAACAGAGCTATATCATGCTAAAATAATACCAAAAAAATGCTGAGATGGAGCCTCAAGGAGGCTAGCATGATGGATCAAAGCATTGAGCACACAAGGCTAAATGGCAAGATTACACTACAAGTATAAAAAGCATGCATGGGATAACCAATCCAAGCCAAAACAGAGTTATGCCATGCTGAAATAGGGCCAAAAATAGGCTGAAAACAAGCCAACACTTACTAGAAAAACAA